CGCTCAGTGCCCGGTGTTGGGGAATGACTGCGGTGGGGCCACCTCTGTCCCCTGCAGCCCACAGGCCACCACCGCTGTGAGCAGATCCCACCATAGCCCCCCAGATCTCTGCTTGTAGGGAGCCGAGGGGAAGGGGAGCCACCCGGGGGCACAGACCCACGGCGGCTCCAGTGGGGCAAGAGCAGCTTGTGCTGAGCTCCCCATCCAGCCTTGGCCGAGGACGGATGCGCGGAGAGTCCCACCAGGCTTTGGGGATGTGGTTGTTGCCGGCGCCGGGAGCGGTTTCGGCAGGGTTTGTGGGGCAGGCAGTCTCCCCGGGTTGCCCAAAGAGGAAGGATGAAGTGGTGGGGCTGTGATGGGAACACGAGAGTGGGTGCAGACAGAGCTTCTCCCACAGTCGGGATCTTCCACGGGGTTGGGGTTGGTCCTGCCCCTCACTGGGTGCCCACGGGAAGGGGCTGGGGCCGGGGGTTGAGGTCACCTCTGGAGGTTGCAGGGAGAGGAGATGGGGGAGGACAGTGTTGTCCTCCAGCCAGGCTGAAATGCAGGGATTGCCTGCTTACGTTGCCTGCAAAGGCCGAAATAACAGTGGTGACTGATGTTAATGAAGGGAAACGGTGGCTGTTCTTCAGCTTGGTGGTGAGGTGGCCACCTGAAGGGACGAGGGCAGCTCTGGGAAGCGCGGTGGAGAGTTTGTCTGGGACCTGATGCTGACAGCAGCCTGTCCTGGCGTCTAGGGGTCAAGAGAGCAAACGATGGAGAGGAAATCGCCTGCTTCCACCTTCTGACCCGATAACCTCCATCGATCGGTGTCTAATGGAAACACAATGGCCCTCTCCAAGGGGAAATGGGCAGCTGCCTCCTCTTGCATCACGAGATGCGAGATAAGGGCTGGCGTTTTTTTCTCCCGTAATCGATGCATTGTTTGGAGATGTTTAGAAATACCTCACGAGGAATTGTCTTGCTGTAGAGCAGCCCAACAGCACCGGGGAGGGTGGCGGGGGCTCTGCCTCGTGCCGTGGGAGGTGATGCAAAACAAGCAGCACCACCGTTAAGCAATTTCCCGTCAGCAGGGCCTGCCACGGCCACCTCTGAACAAAATGTCACGCTCTTGTCACGCTCACTGTGGTGGAACTGGGGAGATTTGGCATCCTTGGTCGGCCCCAAGCAAGGAGGTAATGCTCTGCTCTTGTCCCTCAGACCTTGGCAGGGTGATGCCAGCTTGATCCAGAGCCATGTCCAGGTACCTGAAGCACTTCACGGTGGTGGGCGACGACCCCGTGCAGTGGAGCAACGACTATCAGAAATGGGAAGAGGAGGAGGAGGCTGGGGAGAATGGGGAGAAGCAGCCGGATTCGGAGATCAAGCTGGAGCCCACCAGGAGCCGTGTCTCCTTCCAGGACGTGATGAAAAAGCTCTTCAGCTCCCACAGGTTTCAGGTGAGGCAGAACAAACCCAGGCCTGAAGGGAAACGAGGGTGAGACTTGGTCAAGGGCTCTGTGACAGCAGAGCTGATGTGGGATGGAGCACAGAGTGGTGGGCTGGGACCAGCCCCGAGCTCATGGGTCCCGTGAGAGTGGCTGCTGTCTCTGAGCTGGGTTGTCCTGTCGGAAACGAGCTGCTCTGCAGCGGGTGCAGATGTTTCCTGAGCGGCGACAAGCCTCGGTGCACGCTCGTCACCGTGCGGGTGGAGGCACGTGCTCTGCCCAGCTCGAGCTCCTCGAGACCCACCACACCAAGTGGTGGGAAACAGTTGGGTTTGGTGGGGAGCCAAGAGGTTTCGTACGGGTGAGAAGTTGCAGGAATAACCCACTGACCAGGAGCTGCAGGGGTGGAAGTAACAGAAAGCTCTGTGAAATACAACTAGCCAAATTTGGGATGTGGGACATGTTTAGCTGAAGGCTGCCTCGGCTCCTCGAGTAACAGAAAGCTCCATGAAATACAACCAGCCAAATTTGGGATGTTGGGGCATGTTTAGCTGAAGGCTGCCTCGGCTCCTCTTGCTGATCCGTCCATGCTGGGAAGGGGTTCACATCGGTTCTTTTCCTCCAACAGATCCTCGTTGTCTGCTTGGTCATCTTGGATGCCTTGTTGGTCCTCGGGGAATTGCTTATGGACTTGAAAATCATCCACCCGGACAAATATAATATAACCCCAAAGGTAAAATGCAGGGAAATGTCAATGTGAACCACAATTTCCCTCTCTTTGGTGGTTCAAAGCCCACTAGGTAGGATGACTGGGCTGGCAGGACCTGGACCTTCAGCTTTGCTGAGCTGGTGGTTGCAGGCACACGGACAAAGCTCTTGCAGGGACTCGTGTGACAGTCCTGCAGTGTGTGGACCAACCTGGCTCAGCTCATGTCGGTCTGTGCAGCAGCTTCATGTTTCCTTGGGCTGTGGCAGAGCTGAATCGCTCTCCCTACCCTTCTCCCAGGTGTCTTCACACCTCCTGGTCCACCTTACACAAAGCCACTAGATGCCACTTGCTCATTCTGGTTCTCCTTTAGAGCAGAAGAGCCCAGCCCTCCTTGTTGTAGAGTCAGATCAGACATGCCCTTGAGTGGTGGAGGTTCTCTGCTTCCACACACAGAGAAGAGTTTCCTGGCCCTAAACTCAACGCTGTCTTTTCCCAGGTCTTCCACTACCTCTCCCTTTCCATTTTAACCATCTTCCTGGTCGAGGTGGGGTTTAAAGTCTTTGTCTACCGCCGGGAGTTCTTCCACCACAAGTTCGAAGTGCTGGACGGGATCGTTGTCATTGTGTCCTTCATCCTCGACGTCGTCCTCATCTTCCGGGAGCACGAGTTTGAAGCTGTGGGGCTGCTGATCCTGCTGCGGCTGTGGCGCGTGGCCAGGATCATCAACGGTAGGTGTCTGCCACCGGTGGGGACCTCTCCCTGCTGCATGGACTGGATTTGTTGACCTTTCCTGAATCATCTGGGGTCGCATCTTCCTTCCCTTCTCAAAGCCATCCATGAAACCCCGGGGTCTTGCTTTCCCAGCAAACTCAGATCTGGCCCAGGCTAGAGGAGATGCCCAGCTCCATCACGGCACCATCAGCCACGTTCCCCTAAAAACAACCTGTAATCTCTGTTCTTGCATCTCTTCCCTCCTGGGAGGGAATGGCTCGTGGCTTAATTTTGCATCGCAGGATCCCTTTGGCAACAGTTTAACAGGGGAGCAGGGTAAAACCCTGCCCTTCTCATTCTGCTTCTGTAGCAGAGTGGGTTTTACTGCTCTGATGTGCTGCTGCCACTCGGTCACCCCCTCCAGGGACGCTGCAGGGAACATCCTGATCTCACTCTCAACCTTTCTTGCTCAGGTGCAAAGGGCTCACTGTTCAAAGAGGAATACAAGTGTCCCCAGATCAGACCTTACTGACTCCAGTGTAAATTGTTCCAAATAGATGTAAATTCAGACACTTCTGAAACAACTGTAGCTAGAAACGTTTTCTTCCTTCTCTGGGAAAGGATTTTGGGATTCAAGAAATGTAGGAATGGGATTATCCCCAATTCCTGTGTGAAACCTCAGCCCAGTGCTGTCCTGTGCCTACGAGTGTGCTTTTGGTGAGCGCTCTGTACTCCGTGTGGCTGTAAGGCTTTAGTTGGAATCAAAGGAAAGGATGGGTCAGGCCAAGTCCATCACCTGCAGCCCCCCTGCTGCCATTTAGATGGGGACAACACGTCTGATAGGTGGCACCAGCCAGTTCGAGGGAAGGTACGAGAGCAGTTTGTGGCTCTTTTTAGTTCGGGGTGAAAATCAGAGAGAAACCAGATTGGTGTGCAGCTGGGTGAGCCACAGGAACCTCAGTGTCTCTTAACACGCCATTTTACAGCAGAAAACCAAGCAAATCTCCTTATCCTTGGGTGCTCCTGGTTTCCCCACCACCACCTTCTCACCATGCCCCTGCCCACACGGAGTGACAAAGGGGACACAGAAAATCATCCCCAAGCTTGGGGTGTTGTGTGTCTGAGCCCAGGCACGGTTTGGTGCCTCAGGGACCGGGTTAGGGGCAGGTGGGGGCTGTTTGATGTTATCCATGCAAATAAGCAGCGTCGTGGCTTTGTCTTCAGAGAAATGAACCCCCAAACCCTGAGCCTGCTGCCTGTAGCACTAGAAACACGGGCACGCGTCGGTGCCTGCCTCCGTGCACATTGTTCTGTCAACAGCCGGAGGAGAGCTCCGTTGGGTAGGAAGAACGTGATGTTCTTGATGCTCTTACCAAGCTATTTAGCTGCTTTTTTTTTTTTTTGCCTTTTTTTTCCCCCTTGGAAAAGGGTGGGAAGAACATGCCTTTGCTGCGGGGGCTGAGTTCACATGTAATAAGCTAACAATATTTCATTAGAGAAGTGACACCTCCGCTGTAATTAGAACCTGCGTGCCCTGATGCAGCCGGGAGAGGTGAAGCCACAACCCAAAGGACCCGACAATGTGCCATGTCCCATTACACCCAGCAGGATTGTCCCCAAGGCCAGGGACACGAGCCCCCTGCCCCAGGCTGTGCTGTGCGCTGCCGTTAGAGCGAGGCTCCCCGTGCCATGAAACCAGTTTAAAAGGCAGCCCCTCATGACAACAAAGCTGCCAGTTACATCCCCCCCAGGCTCTGCCAAGGGAGCAAATTCAAATTCAGGATTTGAATGACAGTCTGACTGATTAATTCAGCTCGGAGGCCAGACTGCCTCTTCCCAGCAGAGTATTGGTATCTGAATCCCCGGGGTGGCTAATTTAAAACCCTCCTCATTAAGAAAAGCACTTGGGAAGGGTGGTTTGAAGATGACAGAACCCAAGCTGGAGAGGAACACGTTTAACTCCTTGAGCACAGACCCTGTGTACTGTTAACCTCCTTCTCGAGGCTGTTGGACGTTGTAAAACCAACCCACTGTGAATTGTTTCGCAGGAATAATTTTATCGGTAAAGACCCGCTCGGAACAACAAGTGGCCAAGCTAAAGCAAGCCAACCTGAAACTTGCAAGAAAGGTCGAACAACTGGAACACAGCTGTGTAGAGAAGGTAAGAAAACACTTTTAATTTAAACGAGGTTTACCCTCTGGCTGCTCCCTGGGACGAGCTGGCCTGGGATCCTTTTGTAAGGTTGCCACTGTCAGCTTGGTTTCCTCATCGGAACGTTGTGGGGTGAACCACAGCCCTGCCTTGTCCTGCCTGTCCTTCCCTGGCTGCAAAACACTGGTGGCTACCTCTGTCCTACTTAGGTTAGCCAGGTTGTCCTGGTTTACTGCAGTGAGATACCTTAAAGGAGTTTTCCAGGTTCCTGCAGATCTTCCCACTGCCAAAGTGTAAGAGCTGTTATTAATGATTTGACTTTGGTCTCCACCAGGAGCAAGAAATCGAGAGGCTGAACAAGATACTAAAACAGCACGGACTCCTCAGCGAGCAAATTTAGGAGGCTGGTTTTCTGAGGTGGGGAGCTCTGCCCTGGAGAGTGCAGTGTCGGTATCTTCCCGTTGGACCTGAAAGGCTTTCCTGTCTCTTTGCTTTCTCTTGTATAGTGTTGTCTGTAAACATTTTCTATTTGACCACTCTTTGATTAGATCTCGGGATCACAAAAATAGTTTTGCTGGAAATTTAATCGCACGTCCTCCCTGTAAACAGTGATTTCGTAAGACCCTTGTACAGTTGTACAGTCAAAACTGCAAAATAATTTAATAAAAACACATCTTTACAAGCCATACATCCACAAAAGTACCACTTATTTAAAATAGTTGGGTTTTTTTTGTGATAATGTTCTTTGTTTGCTATACCTTGTAGAAATTTGCAGTACAGGTGATAGGAATCCAAGCTGAAAAGGTCACTTCAAGCTGACCATTCATCATTAGTACATCTTTTCTTTGCCAACCATTCTTTTCATGTTGTTGGTAGTTTCCTCATTTCTGTTGCTGCTTGTGCCACTTTGTTATTTATATGACATTTGTTTAAAAAATACCAACATACCACTCCTTCAGTGGACAATCACAATCAGCACCAAAATAGAGGCAAACACGTGCCACCTTACGTCAGTTCTCAACAGGAGATTTGGGTTCTGATACTGCATTCTCTCCTCTCTTCTTCCATTTTAAGTGTTCGTTTGCTGCCTGCTGGGCTACAAAGTTCCTTCTGCTTCCCCAGCTCATAAATCAACGCATTAAAAAGAATTAGAATACGTAAGAACAGATGTAGGTAAGTGGACTGCTGGGAACAGTTAGACTCCAGAAGCATATTCTAAAGGACCGGGCTGGTGTTTGAACACAACGTGAACTTCGTCAGGTACTAGAAGGTCCCTGTGGTGAGACTATTTTATAGTTGAAAAGTAAGATTCAATAAGTGGGAATGTGGAAAGGTGTTGACTGTGGCAAGCATCTCCAACTGATTTCAGCCAGAGTCAGCTGGGAGGGTCACTGAGCTTTTCTGAAAGCATTGGTGAACTTCGTCAGGTACTAGAAGGTCCCTGTGGTGAGACTATTTTATAGTTGAAAAGTAAGATTCAATAAGTGGGAATGTGGAAAGGTGTTGACTGTGGCAAGCATCTCCAACTGATTTCAGCCAGAGTCAGCTGGGAGGGTCACTGAGCTTTTCTGAAAGCATCGCTTAACTGTTCAGATTTTTAAAGAAAGGTAATTAACTAGTGGTTTGGAGAAAAATAGCTAGAAATATTGCTTAACTCTTCAGATTTTTAAAGAAAGGTAATTAGTGGTTTGGAGAAAAATAGCTAGAAATACGTGGCTTATTCAGCTATAAAAATAGATAAAGCAGAGGCCTTAACTAATAGCACATGATTAATTAACAATTTAGCTCTGCTTTTCACAGAATGCTGAAGCCCACTTTTGGGGGGAGCCGTACTGTGTCCCTGTGCTCCTCCCTTCCCCTCCCACCTCCACACTCAAGGTGCTGGTGGCTGCACGTGTGCTGATGCACCAATGGGAGCCACCATCAATTCATACTGCAATCTTTTTTTCCCCTCTTGGCAGAGGTCTAATTGGGAGCTTTCTACTTAATGTGGAGGGTTTTTTTGCCCTAAAGCTTCTGAGAACCCTCACAAGAGCTCACCCTTTTTCTCTTGGCCAGTTTTAACCCAGTGTGTCTACAATTCGTATGAAACTGATGGCCCATCACAGTGACTGCATAAAACTTGTTTCTTTAGGAAATGGACTAAAAATTGGAAAAAGCAGAAATAGAGTTGGTTTGGTTTTTTTGATGCCCACTTACCTTAAACAAATGGAAAGAAAAAATCAAAGGGTAACTTGGCGTTAATGGTGGGCCAAGCTTTATAGCCTGGCTCTGCAGGTGAAGAAATATCAGTGAAAACAACAGAACTTGTAATAGCAATAGTCCTGTCCCTTCCTGAGGGAAGCTGCAATGAAAATACAAACGGTCATTAGCTTCAATCTTCTCTTTGTATGGCTGCTTCGTTTGAACTGGGTTATGTTTTCAGCTGTTATTTGTAAAAAGTTTCATTTCCTATACACTTTCATGTTTTTTTTTTCATGAGTGATGTATAGATTTTTATGGAAGTGTGTTTTGGCACGCAGCCCGCAGTCGTGTTTGAGTTGGAACAGAAACTGTTGGGTGTAATACACTCTAATATGAAGTGCTACCTTTAGATAAAGAGATTAACTGGGTCACTGTTACACAGCTGATACCTAAGCAAAACAAGCCATTCTTTTTATCTGAAATCCTATAATTTAATTACGTACCTGCTTCAACGTGGTGCTAGTGATCGTTGCTGTAACGTTGACTATTCTGGCTTGTGGATTGACTAGGGATCCATATTTAGTCCACTTCACTGCTATTTCAAGTGATACTGGTATTTGGCATGAGCTCTGAAAAGTATTATAAATTCTCTCATTGTCTGACTTGCACAGAAGCAACCACATTAATTATTCATCTTATTAAACTGGCAGAATGCCTGCAGAGAGCTTGCTCCAGGGGGTTACCAGAGCAACTGGGCTGTGCCTGTGTCCTGGGCTGCTGCTCGTGTGGGCAGCACAGGCACTTCCAGCCTTAGCTCAGGGCTGTCCCTGCTGTTTCTTCACAGGTGACAAACCAACTCCCTACCCACGCTTCAGGCAGGACTTTGGCTCTTAGTGATAGTGCTGAGCTGGTTCTTTTTAGTAGGAGAAACTTATTTCAGTAATACTGCTGGGACAGTAGAAAATCCTTAACTCTTCCAGGGCAAAATTTTGAAGCCTACAATCTTAAAATACTTCTTGGTATTTCTTCTTGAACTGTCAAGTTTCTGGTTACAGAAATCATTCAGTCTTTAGTTATAAAAGCATAAAGAAATCCATATGTGAGCTGCCACTGAGGGGGTTGCTGTCATTCAGCACGTGCCAAGCAGTGCTGCCTTCCACCAACACAGGGTCTGTGCTGCTCCGGGAGGAGAAGGGCTGGTACAGCAGATGTTAAGAACAAATGTAGTGTTTGGGTCATATACTGCTGAGTATATATGAGTATATATATACTGAGTATACTGCTTCTGTGCTTTAAGGGAATCTGGCTATCTTACTCTAACCTGGCGTAAGAGCACCAAGGAGAAACACTGATTCTGTTACCTCACTCTTTCAACCTTCCCTCTTGTGCTTCATCCCACCTCAAGAGCAAGACTTGAAGGCTAGAACTCACTTTGAACCCAACACATTGTCATCATCCCTAATTGAGGTGCCTGGATACCAGCTTGATTAAAAATAAACCCCATCTTCTACAGCAAGAGTGAAACTCCTCGTTTGTGAATATTCCAGGAGGACTTTTCCCCCAGTTTGTTTCTGCAATTTTTTTCCCCATAGGTGTGAGAAAACCAAACTGATGCTGCAGTACAGGTACGGAGAGGGCAGTAAGGGTGAAGGGGGTGGTGGCAGTGGTGTAACTTTCACCTGTTCTGAGGTGTGGAGGTGAGTTATCCGCACCCAGTCGAGCACGTCGTGGGCTTGGGAATTTCCAAATGAGGCCACGTATTCGGGAAAGCTTTGTCCCTTCAGTAAATCTAGGAGGGTCTGAGCCAAAGGCTGACATTTCATAGCTGCAGTAATTCTTCCACAGGAGAAAAAAAAAAAAAAAAAAAAAGCAGACTGTAAGTATCGTGTTTAGATTCCCAATACTTGCAGTAATTCTTCCACAGGAAAAAAAAAAAAAAAAAAAGAATATTAGTAAAAGCAAAATCCATTGGTTGGTCACAGTAATAATTTCTCCTTGCTCTCATGCACTGTGCCAGTTGTGAATGTTCACAATCTTTTCAAGAGAAAGACCATTGTTAATTAAATGACATTTTTTGTAATTTAATACTCCTATAGGAGTATAAAGGTCCCAGGACCTGAACAGATCCTAGTGGAAAGGGTTGTCAGAGGGTTAAAAGCACTAAATGAAAAAAAAAAAGAAATGTCCTCTTACCGTAACTTACAGCCTGATACCATGTTATAACCAAATAATATTGGGGTTCTGGCTCCCTGGGCTGCCAGACAGTCCTGGTTGGATGTACTTTGCAGAATGGTAAGTTGACCATACGTGTTAGTATTCTGAATGATGCCAGATGTAACACACAGTTAAAGGGAAATTCAATAGTTGATGTATACCATAAAGAAAGAATCCTTAATTGTATCCTTAAAATATATATGAAAATGCTACAAGAGCTTAAGGCTCCCCTTACGCTGTGAAGAAGCACAAGAGTGTACAAGGAAGGTCTAAATCTACCTCACTAAAACGTCCCAGGAGATTGCAGTCAGGACTGAGTCATTCACTGCTTCTAAAACATAGCCTAAGAAGCACATTTTTACTTTTAATAAAGAACAGATACATTTTATAGATGTCCATGCTAGAAAGTAGGCCAGAACAAGTACTGCAAACAAAATTTCAGCAGGGAAAGGATATCCTTGTGGCCGGAATCCTGCTCTTAAAGGAAGTCCAACAACATAACCAGGATTACCACTGAGAGGAACTGGCTTTGTATTTACCTGCGATGCAAACATACAGTATTAGCTCTTATCCTGTACTGAAATGGTAGAAAACACAGAAATATTTCACTTATTTTAGGATCATTAACTGCCTTGAACAATGATAGTAGTAAGACTGCTTTGTAAGATTTTAACAGCTCTCTAACACTGGGGCAGGCTTTGCTTTCACTGGATATAGAGAGTCACAAGCTGACTCTTCTAAATGTGGAAAACAGACTTTGGAGACCTTTATTGCCCAGTTCTGAAATGCTGCCTCATTTGTGTATCCAGGGCAAGTTACATTTTACCTTGCTGCTAACAATTGTTCTGATTCAAGTTTAATAAGTTTTGTAATTAAATGTCTTTCAACAAGTCATCCGTAACATCTCTAGGAGTTACCTGAGTAAAGCTGATTTCAAAGCTCTGCTGGATTGAAAGTGCTTCTTTGTTAATTGCCCCCAAGACAAAAGAAGCAGCTGCTTCTATTATTTCTCCTGCGTCTGTGTATGTAATGTGATAACTCACCTGAAAATTAAACAGTTTAGATATTAATTAGAACAAATACATAAGAGTATGAAACTAGGAAAAAAAGGAATTTAAAACCCTGTAAGTATTGTTTTATTTCTTGCTTAAGAAACACTCGACTACGTGGCAGAGATATACTATATCCTCTAGAGGCTGGAGCCTCTTCAAAATGGACTTCTTGATAAACCTCTTCGAAGCATAAGCCCGATGTTCACCTACTTAAAAGATGAGATGATGTGCACTGCATGTTCCCCTGTCTCTGCCACCTCTGTGCCTGAAGCCATCTTCTCCCAAGCACAACATAGATTCTACACTCAGGTTATTGGCTGTCATGTCATATACACACAGTAATACTAGAAAAGGATTTCATCCTGTCTCTCTGTTATGTTGCATGTAGTTATTATTTTGTTGCAAAATACTCTCTTTTATCCCAAAGTCAGTGTTTTTCCTGTCACACTTGCTTTGGAGATGTCACAATATTTGGAAACTCTGCAAGGCCTTTCTCACAAGTTTGCAATTTGTGAATCAGACGTGATTTGCTGCATACATGCTTTCCATCAAATGTGAAGAGGAAAAGAACTGTCATACCTACCCCAAGAACGACATTTATGCACAGTTCATCCAAAATCATAGGGAGCCTGAGGACATCACTATTGTTAAGTGAAGTCCGCGTTCCATTCAGAGACTGGACAACTATGGACTGGACAGTAATATTAATCTGAAAAACAAATTAATGTAATTTCTGAATATTGTGTATAATTATTTTTGGCTTTTTCTGCATTATTATATTTATGGTCCTTCCAGGTTCTGTTTCAGAGAAGCAACAACCAATAATCCTCTGAGCAACTGCTATGTTACAGGTATTGCTGAAGTTCAACAAAAGATTCTATTTTTAACTAGAGAAAGTTACTTAAAAAGAGAGCATTATATATGAGGGGAATGCATCAGGATTAAATATTTGCAGGTATTGTATTATCTTGGTGTTGCTAAATATCATTACTGATAGCAAATGATAGAATTCTTTTTAATGTAAAGATTAAGGTAAAGTCCCTGTTCTGATGAAGTCAGTGAAAAACTCCCACTGACTATAATTAAGTATTTTTTCCCCCAGCTCTTCCAACGAAGTTAGAAGGAGACTTACCATCTGACTTGATTTGGGCACCTAGGGAAGAATAAAAGAACAAATTCAAACAACAGCAAAGGTATGACCTGTTACAAGTAGCAGTTCAGTCTTAACTGCTTTACCTATTTAACTCTCTATCATTACAAGAACTTCTACGTTGTGTCAGTGATTGGAAATACATTACAGTATCCAGGCAGTGTGAAAATAACTTGCTGTTCTTTGTGGCTTATAGGCAAAAATCTTAGTCTCACCCTCTTCCTGTGACAGTAACTGGAAAATTTCTTGGTGACTTCCATCAGGCTTTGACATCACTTCCAATAAACATACAGTGTGTTCAGTAAGTAGTGGATGCATCTAGTGTTTCCCTTGGACACTATTTGCACATCAGAACTAAGGAAACACTGAAAAAGTTGACTTCCATCAGAAAGGTGGCCCAAAAAAGGCACCTGGTTTTGGTGTGACTGTTACTGTGCACCGTAGCGTTTGACCTATCGAGGGCGTCAGAGAACACTGTTCCCACTGCAGATCTCTGCAAAAACACCCGTCACTATTCACAGCCTGCCAGATCAGGAAACCTGCCAGGCTCTTCGTACCCAAAGAAATGAAGAGCTTTTGTTGTCCTTTTCTGGTGGTACCGAGTCCACAGTTTCCGAGTCTCTAAACAAACAAATCAGAAGCAAGGGTCCCTCTTGTTTTATGGCAAGTTTACTTGCCTCACTGGAAAACTTCCACCAAATTTTCACGGAAAGGCAGAAATGTCAGACCAAGGTCATCAATCGGGTCTGCAAAATACTCACACAGAGCATCATTTTCTCAGAAGTTTTCTTTTTTTGGATTCCCAATGAGTCTTTGATTCACATCTTTGGGAAGGGACCAAAAATTGACCTCTGAGCATGAAGTAAGTTCTGCAGGAATAGGACTGGATACAGAGTCCAGCCTGCCCATCTAACATCCTGGCACAGAACACACTCCTATGAGCTGGAGACCTGAAGGTGATGCAGGTAAAGTCTTTCCCACACTGTCATGTATTTACATCAACAGCCTGAGGTACAGCTCAGCCACCAGAATCAGTTCCACGAATAACTGTGCTTGTAAAGATTAGGCAGGCAGCAGCACGTTGCTTTGGAAGCTGCAGAGCACACACTAACCATGGCATGAAGCATCACGTTATGAGTATCTTGGTAGAGGGTTCCAAGCACCCCCAATTCCCCCTGTGTCTGCTGGACAGGCTGGGCTAGAGAGCAGAGATTACCTGCAACAATTACCAAGACTTTCATATCACCCAAGTTGTCCAGCCCGGCAGTGAGTATGGACTCATAACGATGGGGTTTTCTGGAGGAACTGCTGTACCAGTCCTCTTACCCTGCCATCCCAGCAAGCCTTCACGGGTTGATGTGTTTTGCCATTTCTTTTGCAGGCAGCTCCACCTGCTGGCCCTGGCAGGGCTCCCTGCTCTGCCCTCTGACCACCCTAACCCCAGGACCAACTCACTTTTCTATTCTCATATCCCATCATCAGCTCCCTTTGGGAAAGAGAGCTTCCTACAGACCATCTCTAGCATCCATTCGTCCTTCTCCAGTTATTGCATTGAGCCTTCCTGAACATCCAATGGACTTTGGAAAGAAATCTGACCTCTCCAAGCTGGGCTGTTGTAACTGCCAAGAGGCATGTGGGCAACTTGTTATGTAGTGTTCTAGTGAGGAAGGGGAATTAATCTTTTAATTTAAAAATATTCACCTGCTTGGAGCCTGTCCTGAGGGATGCTTCTTTTCTGGTTCTGCAGCCACCACAAACTCTAATTTTGGGTGTACATGGAAACACTCAAAGCCCTTCTGAGACAGAGTTTTCTCCATCTGTTCCACAAAGGGACAATCAAAAGCTAACATTTGTGAACAATCCCTTGCTGATTTCAACGAGGTCCTCAACAATCAGGAGAATGACCCCACCTGGGAGACTGAACTACTTCCCTGCTTTGGAATCTGTGAGGCACTGAAAAGGCTCTTTAAGCAGTGACTCACTATGGAGTACTAATTAAATTAATTGAAATAATCATATAAATTAAAAACATTTTAATAGGGGAGAGTATGGGGGAGCTGTTTCTTGTTCACCTTTGGGTTCTGGAAGGGGCTATCAAGTTAAGATATGAGTATTTCAGTTTCAATTTTGCATGCATGATTTTTTTGTCTTCCTGAATATCTGTAAAGGGCATTTATTTATACATAAGATGTCATCCTCCAGTTCAAAAAGGGATGAAAAAGTAAGCTTAGCTTTTGAAAATAACCACAGACTGGACTTGGTACTAGGTTGGTTACAAAAAAATTTGGTCTCAGTGGGGTAAAAGTTCATGTTCTCTGAGGAGTATAAGGAAGGCTTTGCATGTGTATGCAATAAGTCTCTATTAAAAATTGAGGCTTGTAAGAAAAGTGTATCTGCAGATGATTAGACCTTGCAGGTTCCTCTTTAAGTACAAAGGTTTACCACCTCTTTAAAACGCAGACTTCTTAGAACTATGCAGTCTGGTAACAGGCTTCTTGGAAAAAGCTCAGACATGCATAAAAGCACAAAACTGCTGCCACTGCAGCGTTAGCTCAGTGACACAAACTTGTCTCTTCAAGACCATTATTTTTGTTGGCTAAGCAGAGAACAGTAAATGCTTCTGTTACCAAAGCTTGAAGTAAAAACACTTCCAAAGGCTTTCTGTAAAACAGTCTGTTTCACAGGGAGGGTTGTTTTTGTTTTTTTTTTCCCAAAGCACAATTTAAAAATCCAAAGAAAGAACCATATCCTTCAGTAAATAGAAGTTACTTAATTCTGGAGACCCAAAAAGATACGTATTATCAACAGTCAGCTGTTTCAAATCATACTTACTGCTAAAATGCTGGAGTTGATGTAGAACAGCATGCTAACAGCTTGAATGCTGCCACATTTTTCCACACTTACTGATCTAATGCATTTTGTAGCCTGGTTTACTAAAAATGCTGGAAAAAAAAAGTCACAAAGTATTACTAAGTGAAATGAAAGAGCAATTGTGAAAAGCAGAAAGCAAAAACAATATAAAAACTTCAAGTATAAGTGAAAGTGAACGTGATTTCTATTGCAGATAAGGTTTGATGTGAGCTATAAAGAATGACACTTTCTTAGATTCTCCAGAAATGCTGTGACACAAAATACTTCTTAACAATAGAAGCTTAATAAAAGCTAGAAGATTTAGGACTTAATTTTTGAGATCTCATAAGATTATTTTTTTCTTTCACAAGAAACTTCAGTTCTCCTATGATCATCATCATGATTGTTATGATGCCCTATTTAATACTAACACTGGGGTTTGGAAAATGCAGGTGTGTGGGTTTGGCTGTGGTTGTGGCTTCTTCTTTTTTCTTTTTTTCTTCCCCTCCTCCCCCTCTGCAGATTTTCAGGAAACTGTGTGAAAGGTTAAAATGTAGAGCTCAAGCCTGCAAGTCTGACTTGAGTTGCATTCAGGCTGTGAAAGGAACCTCATTACACCAGAGGGACATCTTACAAAAGTTGCCCAGTTAGGTCTTGCTTTGTGTAATACCCTCTTCCCTCATGGTGTCACCCTTGTACTATTTTATTAAACCAATTATGCCAAATAGGATGTTTTGGTGTTGGATAAACAACCCATTAACAAGACTCTCAAGGATTTACATATCTAACTTTGAATGTTTAATATAGATGCAACGCAACTTCCAATCAATGTCTAAAGAAAACCGGAGAGAAATAGAAGCTATTTGAAAAATATTTGTTCATGACTCGTTATCTGTATTTACATTTTGTGTGTGCCAATTTACTGACTGGTCAAGTTCAAGTCAGAACAGAACACTCTAAAGCAAATAAACTGGAATTCAAATGCATTTTCCAACCTGCAGGATTCACATCAGAGCACCAAGAGGAGACAACAGGACTAGGCAGCCTTAGAAAAGCATCCACTGTCTGTATAGGAACACCATACTGCCAAATAAAACAACATATTCAAGTGTATAGGTGTGTTTCAGTCCATGGGAAGTTTTAGAGCATTTATATTAACAATAAATCTGAATAAAATAAGTACTTGTTTCCACTATATCTGTCAATGCTTTTTACTATTTTATGCATCAATTCTTAAGCCACTGCTAACAGCTTTATGTCTACAATAGCAAACCACCTACACATTTTTTCACAGATCTTAAAAAATCTAGTTCACTGTTTAAGTAAACTAACAAACAATGCTACATTTTTTACATTTCTATATTTAAAGACCAAAATAAACTTTGTCTTTTCTAGAACTGCAATTTTTAGAAGCAGATGCAAACAATGTTCACTTGTTCTTTTATGGAGCAATCTAATACTAACTGAGTCATGTAATTATTTACCTCGTATCTATATGTTTCATTTGCATCAGGAGGATTTTGAGCATCTGCATCCATATCCCAGCTGTCAGGCTCAGCACTGAAAGTAGTACTTCCAAACTCTTGAAGCAATCGATCAAAATTTTCAGAAGTAGGCATTTCAGGGGAACTGAAGGAGAGTGCTTGTTTATCTGTCAAAATATTATTTAAAGAATAAGATAACTTTTAGAATAGAAGATACAGAAAAGTTATTTAGTAATATTTTTTCCTCCTGGAGCTTCTAAAACCCAGTAAAAGAAAAATACCAATAATGATTTTTTTTTTTATTTTATTTTTGTAAGGAAAGCTTTCTCTTTTCTTTAAGAGAAAATCAGATCTGTGAAAGCACAATCTTGAACTTAAGGAAAGAGGTAAGTCCCTTACTTTCAAAACCACGGTTTCTAACAGCATCAGGTGTTCCAAAACAAAGATATGCCAATTAGTGTCTACAGTTTCAATGCTAAGTATGCAGATGACTACTGCACAGTCTTAATTAAATTAAGAAAACATAGCACGGATCACTTCTTACTTCCCTGCAAGTTATTTTAAAGCTGGCCATAAAGGATTTGTACCAATTCCATACTTACAGTAACAGATCAGGAAGGAGTCAGTTTCCCATGAGACAACTTTAATGTGATTTATTGGAGAGGATAAATAATTTAAAAAAAAAAAAAACCCACCCTAAAAAGTTTTTTTTTAACAGAGAAGACTAAGAGTTAGAGTATGAGATGTTTTAACTCCATAGTTTCACAAATGACAGGATTACAACACAAGGACTGTGAGCATACAGAATACCCAGTTTTCTGATGGGTTTAGTTTCTTTTAATTTTACTCTGTTTCTGGTACCTAAAGAGCTTATAAAAATAACAACACAATTCTTAATACCAGCAACAACTCTACTTACAGTTTGTAGCATGAATGCAGAAAATACTGGGATTGACTTGGTCAATTAATTTAAATATCCTTTCTGGTGGATTTGCTTCAACATCAAGTGAATACACAGCAGCTTTCTGACTACAAAGACGGTCGTCACCTCTACAAACAATAATAATAAAATAATAATCCACTAGAAGTTGGTATTGACCATATTTTAAAGTTCTTCTCAAGTATTGAGGCAGCATCAAAAAAAGAGCACTAAAGAGATTACACTTCTTAACACAATTTGTATAGCACTTGTGCCTCCTTAGAAGTTTTATATTGTTTTATACTGTATGCTTAGTAATAAATAAAAGAATTCTCCAACATGTTTTATCTAGCAGAGGAAACTGTGTGAGCAGCAACGTGGAGAGAGGTAAGAGACAGACCAGGGGGAAGGGAAGAGCCCGACAGTAATAATATTAGAGCTAAAATGACAAGTTGGATGGGATCCAGGTGGTGTGAGACACCACAGATGCACGGTGCACCACAGGCTATACACAGCTCAGAAGCACTTTTATTTATACAACACAAGTGGGAAGTATGACCTTTAGGGTAACGTGATGGCACGTGGGCCAGAAAAAAGGTCAGTTTTGTGAATATTAGAATAATATTCACTTCAGGGGGGGAAGGGAGGAGGCAGAAAAAAAAGTCCTACTTGAGATGCATGTGAAAAAAAAGGCAGAGTGAGAAATGGCAGTGAAATAACCCATCCAATTTAGGAAAAGTGTTTGTAGATGTGCCATGGGTTCATCACCAACAGCCCAGAACTGCAGTAGCTGCACAGCAAATGTGCCAGTTCATACCCTGAAGAGCACTGGTGTGTCCTACATGCTAGAAATACAAGATGATGATCCTTGGGAAACCATACTTAGGCAGGGTTAAAGCGGTCAAGGGCAGATACTGAAGAAGTGAAATGACTTTTTAAGCATGGAGTTAAACTCCTCTGTGAGGTGAACCATTTGTTAGTAAGGTCACATCATAAATCAAACACCCTTTCTCCTCTGTTTCAGAGGCCACAGAGCCTCTGACTTGTAATCCGTCAAACCCTTTCAGTAACTAATAGAAATATGCAAATGTATATAAATCTCAATGTGTAAATAATGAGATTCACATAACTTGCAGTCATTGAAAATCCCATGGATTTTCATGCAAAAGTAACATTTTACACAAAAGA